CAGGTGATGATTGCTCGTATATATTTTACTAAGCAACCCAACATGTATATTGTGCATTACTAACTTTAGATTTTCTAAAAATTCAGCACATATTATCACGCTAACAATGTGAAGAACTACTGTGTAGATATTATTTTTTGCTAAACGAACAAGATAAATTTGGGTGATAGGCAGATTCAAGTGCAACAAAAGGGGCAAGCGCTTTCAAGGTTTTCGTTCATTCAACAGAAAGTGTGTTTCACAAACTGCAAGTGCCAATAACCAGTTTTTTTTTTTTTGCCAGTTCTTTGCCCAGGCTAACTTTTTACTCAGGCTGACTGAGGAACCTAGATACACTATAATATGACTGGGAATTCGCCAGAAACTTGGTAGCATCATAAAAAAACCAGCTGTAGTAGTCACATGCTTAGGAATATGCTTTTTGGGAGGCTTATTGCCTTATTCCTTCATATTCTACGTTGATTACCGCTGGCAGAATTCTGAGCAAGGACTACTGCTTCTGTGAACAGAAACAACATAGTACAAATCTATCACAAGCTGTTCAAATGAAACACTTGGTAAATGTTTGAAGACTTGTGGTTTTTTGGAGTAAAGGAAACATAGAAGTATAGCTAGCCTTCTCCCAAGGCTTGTTAACCAGACCAAGGGTCTCATTATTAGCACTCTGCTGCTGTTTTAGATCATTAATTTACTCCCAAGGGAACAGTACTCCAACTTATGGACTTCTAGCTATTCCAAAAGTTTTTGATTTCTGCATTGAAGTATAGCAAAACCAAGCCGTCAACAAAAAAGAATAGTGTGAAATCTACAAGTTCAACAGCATATTGAAAGGAAGTAATGCGACTTAAGTACACAAAAGGCACAAAAGAAACATCAAGATGAGCCCTATGAAGCTAGATACTTCATTTGTTTAAAGGAGAGCAAAATTCAAGTATACAACGCGGAACCGGTGTTCTCGTGCATTTCTCTGGAGAGAAGCAGGCCTTGTGGGCCATCTCTAAAACGCTGGTTCGAGGTAGTCCGCGTATGATCCTACCTCTAACTCGAAAAGGCTCGAGATGCCCTCTAGAGAGTGTCGCGTTAATGCAACTTTACCATACTGCTGGAATTAAGGGCAAACAGTGCATGAGCAGGAGACTTACTGTTTATTGCGTGCAGAGAACACTAGAATATCAGTATGGCAAAGTATTGTCAAGGGTATTAATATGCCCTTTGGCAGTTGACACATTTCACTAATACCCTTTAGCAAGAATAAAAGTGCATTTAATGATCAGGCATCTCTTTTGCAAATCTATGATGTAGTTTGAGCATCCTTTGGCAGGCTAGTGAAAAGTAACAAAATAACTCTCCATTTGAAAGAGTGCAGCAATCATACAAGCCGAAAACTGCATGATTGCTAGGAAAAAAGTACAGTTTATTTTGCTGTGTCATAAACAAGAGTGATCTGGTAACCTCAGTAAATGGCGGCAATATGGCATTTGGCATATCACAATTGTTCTCTCCCAAGTTCCGGTCTATTCTCTTTATAAATGGAAGTGAGTATAAATTAGTTTATACTTATATGAAAAACATCAATACTCTTTAGTCAGCTTATTAGCAGCAGAAGGTGAGTTGTGGCATAACAGATCATACTTGATTCACCATAATTTTCCCTAGCAGAAATAATGAACATGTCTTTCGAATTATCTCCCATCTAACTCAGAATTTTTTTGAGGATTAATATTATTTTTATGAAAAATCGCAAAAGTAGTGGCCAACCGGGGAAAATCGCGAAAGTAGGTCCCTGTCGAACGGGTGCAATTCGATAGGGCACCTATCGAACGACGGGCAGTCGACAGAGCCCTGTCGAACGGCTGGCGTTCGACACGCTTGCCTGTCGAACGGAGGGAGTTCGACAGGGCCCACCACCCCGCGCCGCCAGGCCTGTCGAACCGGGGGCGTTCGACAGGTCCCTCCACCGACCCTGTCAAACAATGGGCGTTCGACAGGCCGGTTTAAAGCCCCGTCTCCCCAGCCCGCGATGCTTGTTCGATTTATTTGAGGACCACATCGCCAGCCGCCGTCGAGAGTCGCCACATCGTCGCCGTGAGCGCCGGAGGGAGCGAGGGGAGGGGATAGCAGGCCGGAGAGGAGGCGCCGGCCGGGAGGAAAGGGTTGGCGACGCCCTCCAGCAGTGAAGTTAAGGTATACATTAGTAATCCCTAAGTACAATGCATATGAAAGTTTAATAAAAAATTGGTTTAAGAGTTGTTAATTGTTTCGCATTGTTCGATGTTAGTATGTATGGTTAGCACATGTTAGTATGTGGAACTAGTTCAGTATTTATAAATGATGTGCAACTGGTTCATTATTTCTAACAAATGTGCATCTTGTTAAATACTCTTAATAAATGTGCAACTGGTTAAATAATTTTAATTGCCTTGATTATTTGTGGAACAGGCGGAATTTGTTGAGCACGTTCACGTGGAGTCCGACACCCTGCTGCAAAGACTAGAGGCGAGACCTCCAGGTCTGACGACGTGGCGAGTGTCCTTCGCAACTTCCGTGCACGTGCTGCCGCACTACTACGTCGTGTCTCCTGTCGGAGCGCGGCAGATGTGGTGCAGACGTCGGGCCGACGGCCATCACCACCACTACCCCGACGTTCCAGCGTGGATCGGAGTGGTCCATCCTCTTCACGTCGCGGGTACGAAGCGGCCCACACATCTCACAGTCGTCCTTCCTTTCAGCACACCCCAGCACCGGAGTACACCAGGGGGTCAGCCGGATCAGGGGTACCCACGTCGAGCACGGCACCACCACGTCCGCAGGTATTCCAAACTCCGCCTTATGTTCACCCCTCGCAGGGAGCATCTGGGTCGGCACACTTCCCTTACATGCCAACGGGGGACAACGTGTTGAACACACCAGCATGGGGACTTCATATCACTCCGCGTGCGCCAGAGCAGGGCCACACACAGCACACATGTAAGTCATTTTAAACAATAACACGCTTTAGTTTCTAATTATATGTATCGTTACTAACTACGCCATATTTTTTGGTTTCTCCCTCTTGTACAAACAGACGATGAGTACGGTTCGGCGTCGACGCATCACGGAGTGCCTGCTTACTCCCCTCGCACAGCATTCATTGAGGACTTCTTTTCCACTGATCCTCCCCAGGGGGAAGTAGGGATGGATTACTGGCACGCAGCACCTCAGGTCACACAGCCGACGCAGGAGACGGAGGCCGGTCAGGGGCCAGACGTGACACCACAGCAGGCAGCTAGAGATAGGCACCCCCCTGATAATTTGACATATCCCACTGAGCAGATTAGGCGTAGTAAGAAGGGAGGACCTAGCAAGCGTGCGAAGGGCACTGATCGTCCTTGACTTATCTATTTGTATTAAACTTTTAGTCATTTATGTTCTGTCCGTACTATTTGAGAAACACTTTACGATTAACTTAGTACTATCAGTACTATTTCATAAACTTCTTCGGATAATTACTCAGTAGCATACCCTTCGAATGAATCATGACAAATTATCATTCAAATATACAAATAATGAAACTAAATAATTCAAATATTTTAACCAACAAATAAATACTACAATTTCTGACCAAACATTATCAAAACCCTAAATCACATACATATAACATTACAAAAATATTTTCCTTTCTTACACACTAAAATAAATTACATATTATTAAAAAAATAACTTATTACAAATAAATGGAGAACGCGACCCTGTCGAACTGCGGCAGTTCGACGGACATCCTGTCGAACTGCGGCAGTTCGACAGCCCAGCCTGTCGAACGGGGGCTGTTCGACAGCCCTGCCTGTCGAACGGGGGCTGTTCGACAGGTCCTGTCGAACGGCAGCCTTCCGATCTCGTCGCCAGTCGCGCTCTGGCCGTTCGATAGGCGCCCTATCGAACTGCATCCGTTCGACAGGGACCTATTTTCGCGATTTTCCCCGGTTGACCACTACTTTTGCGATTTTCCATAAAAATAATATTAATTCTCAAAAAAATTCTCTAACTCACAGCATGCACTCCCTCTGTATATTCGTTGTGGCATGTACTTATATTTTGGGATGACATGCTAGATTGGCCATATTCGTCAGTTTCCCTGAATTCTTGATTGCCGTTGATAATATCCTCTAGGAAGCATATTACTCTACTGATTCTGAGTTTTAAGCAAGATCAAGTAGTCCTAATTATTCCCATAATCTTGCAGCTGCTTGACATCTTAGAATGATACTATCTGTTGTTTCTCGTGCTGGGCATAAATCACCGTGGGGATTCTCATCCCATTTTTTCCTTGCCATATTGGCCTTAGCATTCGGTCTCTGAAAACCAACTAGAGGAATATACAACAAGGGCAAGCTCTCCCTTCAAACTATGAAGTGATGAGTAGAATAACTGATGCTAAGAAGCTCCAATGGATTCACGAACTATCACAAGGCAATTGACTCAAGCTAACCAGAATACCAGATGCAAAATCCAAACAAAATTGAAGTCACAAACTTGAACATTTGAACGCATCAACACATATATGCACTTCATCCTACTTGTTTCACCCAGAAATCAAGCGAGAAGGAACTACTAAATTCCGAACGAGGGTGTACCTTCTTTTCGTCGGAGCGCGGGGGAGGCACGGACCGATTGGTGGCTGCCACCGCAGCCGGCGAGGCGGCGCCGGTGCAACAGAGCTGGAGCGCTGCCGCTCCGGGTCAGGATCATCAGTGCCCTCCATGATACGAACCCTAACCACCCCTCCCAATGCGCCCAAACCACCGTACCAATCCCTCCTCCGGCGAGGCGAAGGGGAAAGGCACCAACCCCCAGCCTAATCCCCGGATTGCGATTTGAGGTAGCAAGCCGAGGAGGTGGGAGAATTTGGGGGCATTTAACTATTTGCGGTGGTTTTGGCTGCGCCTGCGAGAGGTGGGAAAAAAAAGTTGGCATGGATCCAATTAACCCTTGTTATAGCCAACACCAAAAGGAAAAGCACGTGCTCGTGTCAAACCGCAGCCGCTCTCGCGCACCGCACCAGCTCGGGAGCCCGGTCATCACCTACTCCGCCCGCCGCCACCATCTACAAGTACCCAAACACTGTGCCGCACGTCCGACGCCGCAGTCTTGTAGTCTCGTGCACCAATCGTCGCGCCGCGGCGACGTTAGGCATTTCGTCGAACACCTAGAGCGCAGCCATGATGCTCACCAAGCCCCACCCTTCGTCCAACCTCCTCCTCCCCACCACCACAGCGCTCCCAAATCCTAGCCCAAACCCTAGCCGCGTCACGCCCCTGGCTTCCGGCCGTGGCCGCCGCGGCCACCACCGCGTGTGCGCCTCCTCCGTGGCGCCCGCGCAGCCCGCGTCGGTGGCCCAGCCCACGGCACCGGCGCTGAGCCGCGTGGACGTGCTCTCGGAGGCGCTCCCGTTCATCCAGCGGTTCAGGGGCAAGACGGTGGTGGTGAAGTACGGCGGCGCGGCGATGAAGTCGCCCGAGCTGCAGTCGTCGGTGATCCGCGACCTGGTCCTCCTCTCCTGCGTCGGCCTCCGCCCCGTGCTCGTGCACGGCGGGGGCCCGGAGATCAACTCGTGGCTGGGGCGCGTCGGCGTCGAGCCGCAGTTCCGGAACGGCCTCCGCGTCACGGACGCGCTCACCATGGAGGTCGTGGAGATGGTGCTCGTCGGCAAGGTCAACAAGCAGCTCGTCTCCCTCATCAGCGTCGCCGGCGCCACCGCCGTCGGCCTCTGCGGCAAGGACGCGCGCCTCCTCACCGCGCGCCCTTCCCCCGACGCCGCCGCACTCGGCTTCGTTGGCGAGGTGACGCGCGTCAACCCGTCCGTCCTCCACCCCATCATCGAGTCCGGCCACATCCCGGTCATCGCGACCGTGGCCGCCGACGAGACCGGGCAGGCCTACAACATCAACGCCGACACCGCGGCCGGCGAGATCGCCGCCGCGTTGGGCGCGGAGAAGCTGCTGCTGCTCACCGACGTGTCCGGGATACTCGCCGACCGCAATGACCCCGGGAGCCTTGTGAAGGAGATCGACATCGCCGGGGTGCGGCAGATGGTGGCCGACGGGAAGGTGGGCGGTGGGATGATCCCCAAGGTGGAGTGCTGCGTCCGCGCGCTGGCGCAGGGCGTGCACACCGCGAGTATCATCGACGGCCGCGTCCCGCACTCGCTGCTGCTGGAGATCCTCACCGACGAGGGCACCGGCACCATGATCACTGGCTGAATTTCTGAATTTCTGGGCAGGCAATAAGCATGGTTAATTCAATTCTTCGTTGTTTTTGGCATCTTTTTTTGGGGGATTGGTTGTTCGAACTTGGAATTGATCTTGGAACCAGATGGTTTTGCACCCTTTGGATGTAACAGAAATGTGATCTTGAATCTCATTGCTATGAGAAACGTCGATGAAAAGGGAAAACAGAATTCAATTTTGTGAGTGCACAATCAATCTTGGTGCAGATTTATTCGGATGAAAAGTTACAGTGTCAATTCAAACTTCCAAACATAAGCGCATATGCTTTGTTTGGTGCGATTTGACCTAAGGTTGGTGGGTGCTTGTGGATTTGTTGCTCGACATTCTTAGCGTGGACGGGGAAGGTAGCTTCAGAGATTGGGCTTGACAACCACGGTCAACTTGCTGCTGCAAGGCGGCAACGCGACGGGCGAGTTCCAACCCATCGTCCAAGCAAGCGGAACTATTTATCTATTCTTAAGTATATTAATCTCCCAGTGAAAATGGGACACAGACAAACCAATCCTTTACAACAGACTAACAGGGTCAAATGATACAGAAATCATCGATGTACAATTTCGTGTGAATTTAAGTTAGATAGCTTGGAAATCATGAGCTGTCCTACAAAACATGCACACACGGCTTGCAGAATCTTGCATCACCACACTTTGAAATCCCACGGCTCAAAACTGTGTTCAAAAGCACCAGGAAATTTAATGAGATAAGACTGAAGGGAAGCTTAAATATTGAGATTTACTATGATAAAATCATGATTCCAACACAGGCAATTAAACTTCTGAGCCTGACAAACTAGGATTGGCATCAATGTTGGCTAAACTAAGATGAATAGAGGTGCTCCTGCGCATAGCTAAGAGACCACAAAACAACGAAATGTAAAGTCGACGGATTGTTGTGCTCACTTGATACGAGCAATGGCCACCACGATGAAGATGAAAACTGAGAGCATGAATGACACCTTCACTGCATCAGTGTAAAGGTCGGGCTTCGCTTCATCATCATCAGAGTGGAAAAGCATGTTCACAATCTTCATTATATTATTCATGAATTCCATTATTTTTGCTTGGGTGTTGCCCAGAATCCACTTAAGCACTCCAGCAGGACCACCAGGGTTTCCCTTTCTACCTGCTGCTTCTTTGTCTGAAAGATGGGTAGATTACAATGAACAGCTAGGAAGTAAAGGCATAAATCAGTAGAATTTGTAAGTATTTGCATGTTTTGCAGTACTAAGGTGAAAAGGATCATCAAAATGATGCTGTATTGCTGTGACAAGTTAGTCTTTTTGGAAAAAAGAGAAGGCCAAATAGTATTGCTTATGACCAGCAAATCTAAACATGAAAATTTTAGTGTAACATACCATCCTGGAAAGATCTCCTGAATTCTTGCACTGCCTCGTTGTTCATAACAGCATCCCATACAGCCCTGTCGCATGACAAGGACATGACCATTTTCTGCATTGAAGACAAGGTTAGCAGAGTCAGTGCAGAGACGAATTGTTCATGAACTTCTATGTCAGAACTTCGGACAGAAGCCAGCAAAAGTACATCAAAAGTTGAAAGGACTATGTAAAATGACATGTTCCAATTGAGAATAAATGATACAAAGTAATAAACATTCTGGAGCACCTGAAGATTGTTAGGTCTCATTCAGGTGAACATTAGGATCTTTTTTGCAATAGATGGAGCAAAAGTTGAAAGGACTATGTAAATGACATGTCCCAATAGATAATGATATAACATAATAAATTGTTACAGAGCACATCAGAATTGGTTATATCTTTCTCACCTGAACATTAGGATCTTTTTGCAATAAACTGATATAACATAATAAATTGTTACAGCGCACATCAGAATTGGTTATATCTTTCTCACCTGAACATTAGGATCTTTTTGCAATAAACGGAAGGCATCCAAAACATTTCTATGTTCCCTTGTCAGAAGAGCAGTTGAGTTGAGAGCATAGGCAGCAGGTTCAATCCAGTCATCTGATCCTGATGAATTGCCAGATGACGAATGTACTGAGGTGGACAATGCTGATTGCTCCTCAGTTTCATAAGAATGCGCACGAAAAGGATCACCAAATACCCTGAATGCAAATGGTAGCCTGATCAGATGGAGCAAACAACACAGACTACATCTAAATGGCTCATGTTCAGCATAGATGATTGACAGTATATTGTATGACAGCTCCATCTAAAACAATGTTCTTCTTGTCTTCAAGATTATATGAGTACAGTACGGAGATTAGTTTATTAGTTTAGATCCATTTTCAACAAAAGATAGCAAACTTGATCTTTTGTGTAGCCATAAGCCCATGAATATCATCGGTTATGACAAGAACACAGTTTGTTAGGTCGCTTCTGAATAATAGAAGAAACCCAAAGTGTATAAGAAACTCAGCCATGGGATTGGAAAAGGCTGCAAGCAAATCTTGAATGTTACTACTTTTCCAGTCATAATTCTGTATGTAACTACAGGTATATATCTTGAATTTTGATACCCTCAATAGGTGGATCCATGTATTGTCCAATTTTAATCCTTTAAAATTCCATTCAGAAATCACCTACTTTCTCCGTCCCAAAATATAGCTACTGAATTAGACACAACCTACCCTCTATCCTGATTCGTACTAATAGGTTGTGTTAACTGTGTTGCCATATTTTGGGACGGAGGAGGTATAGTACTACAGCACATGCCATGGAACAGTCCAAATTTTCAAGAAACGTATGCCCTTTAACGAACTCATGATTGTTCATTCATGAACTCTGCACGGCAAGTGTTCCAAGGTCCGTTGGCATCTGTCCGTGCAGATCACGGAAGTACACGATGCTTCCCCAGGCTCACATCCAATTATGGAGGAGAAACCAAACCAACCAATTGCAAACATTGAACAGCACACGACAAAGACCATCACAACCTGCCACTGGAGCACGGATTTGAACACTAATAACGACAAACAACAGATTTTCGCTGACTTTCTCGCATCAAACCATATTACCAATACGGTTCCAATCTAAATCAATCAATTCGATCAAAACTAACTGACATAATCATTCACAGCAACCTGATTTAGGCGAGGATTTAAGCGAGAGGCAAACGAATCTTACTCCTCGATGCTGGTGAAGGCTGCGCGGACCTCGTCGCCGGTGGGCGGCGACCAGAACACCACCCTGTACTCCTCCTCCTCCTCCGCAACAGGCACGGGGGCCCCATGAACCGCCTCCTCGGCCCCGGCGACGACCTCCTCCCACTCCTCCTCCCCCTCGCGGCGCATCGTGCGGGACTCCCAGCACGCGGCCGCGGCGATGGCGGAGGGCGGGGGCGGCGAGGTGGCGCGCAGGAGGCGGCCGCCGGAGCGGGTGCGCGGGCGGCCACCGGATGAGGAGGAGGCGGCGACGGGGGACGTGGCGGAGGTCGAGGCGCCCCCTCCGCCGCCGCCGCTGCCGAGCGCCGACGAGGAGCGCACGGCGCGGGTGGCGACGCGGAGGAGGTGCCTCCCGGGCGGGTTCCGCATGGCGGCGGCCGGCGAGGCGAAGCTTATCGTCGAGGCCGCCTCGGCTCGGCGCTAATCCAATCTGCTCTTCTTCCCCTTGTTTTTCTGACTGCTGCGGCTTGTGATGATGTGGTGGAGATAATAAATTTTTGAAGGCTTTTGACTGGGATAGGAAGGGTAGTTGCAATATCTGGATGGAGGTGGAGTATTGCTTGGGGTCACCCACAATTCCTACCTTGTTGTAGCTCCTCGTTTGGTTTCTTGTGGAATTGGAGCATGCCTATTGGTTGCTTTATTTGTCTACTCTTCTACTACTTTTATATGATAAACATGTGACAAATATATATAACTTTTTAGAAGTATTTTCATTATTTTCTTATGGAAGAGTAGTATGACATTGTTAAGAAAAAACAATTCATTTACAAGTCGATAACTAAGAGATTATTTGAGAGAAGGAGAAAGGAGAATATTGAAAAGATACCTAAAACGAGATGAGTCATTGTTGTATAATCAATTAAGTATTAATTATTTAAATTTAAAAATAAATTAATATGATATTTTAACATTTGGGAAGCGTGTGCGCGGAGAACGAGAGAAATCTCCTCTCTTTCTCCATTGATCAAAAATTTTTGTTGATGAGGAAACTCTCATCAAATAGTAATCTCATAAAGAGTTTGCTCGGTTATGTTTTACCATGTCCGCAATGCAGTTGCAATCGACAACTACAATTACCGACGTCAACAAATGAATTTCAATACTTGGTTGTTGTAGCTGCTATAATGGTTTTATTGTAAATCGCATAACTAAACTGGATTAAAGATGATACATAGATGCGGTGAGCGTAATAAGAAAAAGAACTGCACATAATGCTCTTCTCTCTCTCATCACGCATACAGAGAAACCCTCCCCAATATTTTCTCCTTTATTCAAGAGCATTTTTCCACATAGTGTTTAAAAGGTAAACTCAAATGATATTTATAAAAAAAGTATATCCCAGTAGCATATTTTATTCGTCCACTCGTTTTTGGGGTGAGGAAAAAAAATCTTGTATTGTGCTCGTCATTGAAAATACGAAACAGAAAAAAAAATCACCTACTCGAAATTAATTAAAATCTTCTTGTTTGGTTCCACGCATTCAGCTTACGTGGAGCAACCATTTTCCATGCCCTTGGCTCTTCGTTGCACCATGCTTGATGCTTCCTGGTCATAGGGTAGAATTCATCCACGTCGCTTTGCAGGCTTGCTGCACCTGACTGCTACGTGCACCCGGAGTACTACTCATAAAACAGGATTTGTCAGACACAGGCACACAGCGAACCTAAACGACGGACCTTTTCAGGCCCCACCCACGTGCCATTGCTTTCACGGATCAGATACTCTCCGCGTCTCCACGACGAGCAGAAAGCACCAACTAATCAGCTACAGCGTGCGCAAATCTCAAACTAGCACCACGCTAATTTAACCTTCTCAGTCGATTTATCATTACAAAAACATGCGCAAAACCAATCAAATTTACGCACGGGATCGATACGAGACTTGGTTCTTGCTTGTGACGAACTCAGAACGACGCCAGCTAGCGGCCTAGCGCGCGTGGCTGCTGTCTTCACGCCACCATGCACCGCGCCTGTATCGAAACCGTAACGCGACCAGCTGACACGTACGCGTACGCGCGGGGAGCGGGACGTGCGGCGCCGAAACCGCAGCCAGCCATGCCCGAGGCAATTGGATAGCGTGCGACGATCGAGAAGAGAGGGTGCGGCGGCTCGACGAGGAAGGTAGCGTACGTGCGTAGAACAACAACGTCTGATCGATGCATGGATGGGTGCTCGCGAAGGTTCGATCGGCGCGTTCGCCGAGACGGTATATATCCTGGCACGAGCCGAGAAACAATTTTTCAGTTGGAGGAAGTTGGAAGCGATGGAACAACGGCGAGATGGATGGAAGTGAACCGGTTTGTGATTACTACCTTTGGGCATGATCAGGAATATTTCAATGCCTGATCCTGATAAATGGAAATATCCAGTCCTGAAAAGTAAATTCAAAAACAACGGCCGGTCCGCAGTCGCCATGTCTCTAGTACCATGGACGAACTAGTTTATTCTTAGAGTAAATTGCGCCAGCGGTACAAAAACTAGTAGGTGGGTGCGATTTAATGTAAAAAATTGTAAAATAAGCAAACTGATACATAAACTTAACAATCATGTGCATTTTGATAAAAACACGGTTACATACCTATGGTTCATCGTATTTTATTGGTTGTATTTGTAAACATGACTGCTAGATTAATTGTTGGCAATGAGTATGTTTTACAGTGCTCATCACCGAATTTGTATGATCATATGGATCGCTCGGAAATTTTGTTAGTTGGCATGCACTTAGTTTTGATAATCATTATTTTTCTAATTTTAAATAATAGGTTATTTTAGTATTGTAACCAAGCAAATGCAATACATCTAAAACCTTATTCGGAACTCAAGATGACCTAAGTGGCTGCTTTTTCTTTACATAGCTAAAAAAGTATGGTGTGGAAGAGAGATATTTTAACAAAAAATGCAGGCACTAACCAAGTTGTTACATCTATATAATCATTTTTCAAATTCTTGCACTAGATCGTACCTACCTACCACGCAATTTACTCTTATTATTACAAGCATGAGCTCATGAGCAATAACCTTGGCTAATAAATTGGTAACGCGATGAAAAAGTCATCCAAGAAACAGAAGTCATCGAACACGATCATGATAGGGATTAGTAAGGAATGTTTAATTTGGTGCGATCGAAAACGTCTTGTGTGAAAGGTCCTCCTTCAACTGCAGAAGAGGTTCGCAAATGTATTGCTGATCGACCATAAATGGATTAATGAACCAGGAAACATGAATATCTAATCTACTAATATGATCCTTTCCTTGAGTGGGCCTCGAACATATGATCCTTTGAGAGTTGAGTGGGCCTCGAACTGAGGGGCTATGAAGGTTGTGCCATTCAACATCGCGGCCCAAGTATCATTCATTTTTCTGCCATGCCAGGACAACAAATTTTGATCAAACGAAAATATTTCAAACTTAGGATTGGTTGGGGTGCGCCATGCCTAAGCAGCAGTGCAACGCTAGGGCGACACGCGAGAGCCCCAGCAGCAAGCTACTGTGGTGGGCCCTCCCCCACAAAAAATAAATTTAATATCAAAGTGGACACATGGCCCACATATCAGATATTAAACTGATAAGAACAGATACTACACTTGATCTTAGCAAAAAGGCCGAGAAAGGTATGAGTAGCTACGTTGCCTTGCCCATCGTTTTATACCAGCCTCCGCCTTATCCTCCACTCTCGCCAGGCGAGGTGGTACTAATCTCGCATTGGCTTCTCCTACTCTGCGTCGATCTAATGGGCCTCCTGCTTCGACCGGCCCATTTAACTTGTCCAGGCACGATCGGCCGCCCACGTGGCCCTTGGCGGTCGGAACTGCACGAATCGCGACGCGAGATCGGACGGGTGTGGCTGGCTCGGGAGATGTGGAACGGGGCTTGTTGACTTGTCCGGCCCGGATTGACGCCGGGAGCGAATCGACGACGACTGAGCTGCTGGATTTTTTTTTCGCCCCACTAATCCGGCCCTGATACCGTGTAGCACGACGGCCACCGGGGAGGTCGCCGCCGATGAGCCCCACCATGAGCCTTCTCTCGTCGTCCTCATCCTCGTTCTTCCGCCGCAACTGCCGCTCATCTGCTCGCCAGTTCCGTCAGCTGGTACGGACTCTCCTGATCTCGCGATTAGTTTATCTGTAGCTTTTGTTCGTCGTTAGCTGTTTTTTTATGTTTGTTACTGGACGGTTCGTGGTGTCTTCAGGGGCGGTGCTAAAGCGTAAAGGAGGATGTTGCCACTTGCTTAATTTATTCTATTTTAGATCGAGTTTAAGCTCATATGGGTGTCTAAGTTTATATTAAGACGAGTGCATACATGATGAAAATAGATGATATATAGCTTAAAAAAATTTTTTGACCGGTTCCTGAACACCTCCCTATATATACTAGCTCCGCCCTCCCCCGCTTTGGTCGTTGGGGTTGGGTGTAAGAGACAGTAGCGTCGGTCCCTGTGGCCCTGTGGGCGCGTAGATTGAGTTAGCTGCGTGGAATGGTGTATGGTAAACACTACTCCTACCTGTTTGGATTTTAGGATTTGCTTAGGAATTTTTGTTTGGATTTTCTGAGGTTATCAGTCCTTGGACTCCTTACCAGCGTGCACTACATCAGTTTCTTCGAATTGCGTCCAGCTAGCTAGGGGTAGGATGAGCAATGGTACGTACTATGTACCTGAAAACCAAGGTGATACTTGAGTGAAATCTATAGTTTTTGTGTGAACATTGTAGCTTGAGATCGAGCAACCCATTGTTTCACTTAATTGTTTGTTAGCAAATAAAGATTATTTATAAGTAAAACTTTTATATATGTGTTTTTAGGCGACGAGTAGGTGTGGATGGTTGCGGAAGTGCTGAGGCGTTGCCTCCAAGGTAGCCCAACAAGATTGACACGGAAGACTAAGTGTGTCATTCTATTCTTTTAATATATTGACGTGTAATACTTTTACGTGTTCGAGAAAAAAACTAAGTGTGTCACTTCATTTCGTCCTCGTGACCCGTAAAAGAAAAGCAAATGAAGTAAAATAAACTATGATTAAGAAAACAAATGGAAACTTACTCCAAGTTGTAACATTTAAATTTTAAATTATAAGTATAAGTCAAATAATGACTGAGACCTCGAATGAGTAGTTTATGTTAATGACCATGCTACAAAAGTTGACTCTTGCTCTGTTTGCGTAGCTGAGCTTGTGAACTGTCTCAGTTCGATACACGATTGATAGGCCTAGTCTAGTATTGTTGCTTTCCACTGCCTGTAAATGAAAAGGCTCAATAACTGCCGCTTGTTTAGTTGGTGAAAAGAAAATATTTAGTTGTCACATCGGACGTTTGACCGGATGTCGGAAGGGGTTTTCGGACACGAATGAAAAATCTAATTTCATAACTCACCTGTAAACCGTGAGACGAATCTTTTGAGCCTATTAAACCGTCGTTAGCACAGGTGGGTTACTGTTACACTTATGGCTAATCATGGACTAATTAGGCTCAAAAGATTCGTCTCGCGATTTCCATACAAACTGTGCAATTAATTTGTTTTTATCTATATTTAATACTTTATATATATGTCCAAATATTTGATATGATGTTTTTGGGAAAAAAAATTTGAGAACTAAACTGGGCCTAATGGGCTTTCCCCGACGCCCTGACGGAAAGGGCAAAAACGTCTTCGGAATACAGATGAGATATTACTGCACGTTTGCATGTTTCAGTGATTCACCTACATCTCTACTGATCCTTTTACAGATTATTCATGTTACAAGTATGCACATTTTATTCCTTCAGCCCCAACACCACGCCCTTGCGATAGAACGGACGGGCAGCGAGAGGGATTAGTAAAGAATAACACAGTCAAGAAACAGGAGTCATCGAATAACAGCCATGCAGGTTCGGAACTGGATTGATCGACCAGAAAAGGTTCGGAAACGGATTAATCGACCAAAAGGTTCGGAAACGGAAATGGACTAATCGACCAGGAAAAATGCCCCCGTCCATCCGGTGATTATACTGATATACTAATTTGATATACTAATTTTCAGCCCAGGCAGCAATTCAGCATTGCGCTGCGGTAGGCAAGTTGAAAAAAATATTTATAACAAATGAAAATCTATAAAACTAAATGAGCAGATCAAAATCTTTGAAACGTGGATTGGTTGGGGTGCGCCGGGCCCAAGCAGTAGTGCAACGCTAGGGCGACACGCGAGAGCCCCGATAGCAAGCTACCGTGGTGGGCCTTCCCCCACAAAAAATAAATTTAATATCAAAGTGAACACATAGCCCACATATCAGATATTAAACTGATAAGAACAGATACTACACTTGATCTTAGCCAAAAGGCCGAGAAAGGTATGAGTTGCTACGTTGCCTTGCCCATCGTTTTATAGCATCCTCTGCCTCATCCTCCACTCTCGCCAGGCGAGGTGGTACTAATTTGCATTGGCCTCTCCTACTCGGTGTCGATATAATGGGCCTCCTGCTTCGACCGGCCCATTAATCCTGTCCAGGCACGAGCGCACTACGGCCCATGGCGGTCGGATCTGCATGAATCGCGACGCCAGATCGGACGGGTGTGGCTGGCTCGGGAGATGTGGAAGGAGGGCTTGTTGACTTGTCCAGCTCGGATGGACGAGTGAGCTGGTGAACTAATTTTCCCCCACACATCCGGCCCTTACGCCACAGCACGACGGCCGGCGGCCGCCGGGGAGATCGCCGCCGATGAGCCCCACCGCGCCGTCGCGTACGTACCCTGTTTGTATTCTCCGCGGTTATCAGTCCTTACAACTCCTTACCAGCCTTTTCTATATTAGTTTCTTCGAATTGCATCTAGTTAGGAGTAAGATGAGCAATTTGTACCTGGAAACCAAGGTGATACTTGAGTGAAATCTATAGTCTTTGTATGAACATTGTTACTTGAGATCGAATGAGTAATTTATGTTAATGACCATCTTATGCCATCAGCTACAAAAGTTCACTATTTCTGAAGCGAGTTCTACCCTTCCTCTCGCGTCGCCCTCCCCCAGAGGTGGCACGGGAGGCGTCAATCTCCGGCCGCCCCTCCCCCCCATCTTCCTCCTCCGCCTCGCCGCCGCCTGAGCGGCCGCCGGCAAAGCCGCGCGGCCGCAAGGACGGCGGCGGCGGGGCTCCTCATTTTCTCGTCAACCTCATCTCGTCCGGGCGGCCGGGGGAGCAACCCAGGGCAGTGGCGACGGTGACCGCCAGATCCGCGCCGCCTCGGCCGGATCTGGCGGGGTGGCGGCTGGCGGCAGGGATGGAGACGGCGGCGGGAAGAAATTGTGGTACGTAGGTTATGTGTCTGTCTTATGTCGTCCTAGTGATTTATCATCGGAATAGCTCAGTTCGAGAGAGGGGGTGGAATTTTAAATTCGAATTGTAAGGTTTGACAGCCAAAAGGCGATGGTGTCGGCAGAGACGCGGCTGGGTCGACGGCGGCGGGGATGGCGACGGCGGCAGAGGCGCTGGATCCGGCCACGCTGAAGGCAGATCTAGCCACCCGGCGGCCGGATCGAGCTAGCTCGTGGCGGGGGCAGCGGAGCTCGCGACAACGTGGCGATGACAGCAGGGCAAGCTTGTGGCAGGGGCACCCGTCGCGGCGGCAGCGGCGGCGACATCCGTCGGCAGGAGCTTCTGGAGGTGGTGCTGCCGGCGGCGGTGGCTGCCGACGGCGCCCGCGATCTGCAACGTCCACGGCGGCTCTCGGCCGGATCTGGGTGCGGTCGGTGGTGGTCGGCTGGCGACGCCTGTTGGCGACAGCGGCGGCGGTGTGGTCGCGGCAGTTGGCGGCGGCGGTTGCTGGCTGCTTGGTGGTGGAGGGCGACGGCGCAACGACGGTTTGCGGAGGCGGTGGTTCGCGTCGGTGGCAGCGGCGACGGCGGCCGTGACTGTGGAGGCGGTGGCAACGTTGGTGGCGCGGAAGGAGTCAGGTGCGAGGCGAGGATGGCGACGGCGAGGTGGCTGAGTGTTCGACAGCAGCGGCTGCGGTGGTGGTGACCGTGGCGGTCATCAGAGGCATGGCGGCCTCAGACGGCTTGCCGAGGGCGTGGGAGACGGTTGCATCTGGCCGGCGCGGCATCGTTGGGTGGAGGGGTCGGAGATCAGCTTGGCGCAGAGAAGCGCAGCCGATGGCAGCGGAGGCCGGCTCGGCGCGAGAGGCGCGGGCGGTGGAGATGGAGGCCGGCTTGGCGCAGGCGGCGGAGATGGAGGCCGGCTTGGCGCGAGAGGCGCAGCCGATGGAGGGAGGCCGGATTGGCGCGAGGCGCATCCGGTGGAGGAGGCCGGCTTGGTGCAGAGAGGCGCGACCGGCGGTGGAGGAGGCGACCTAGGTGCGAGGAGGAGCTGCCGGTGGGTGTGGAGCGGACTCCGGCGCACGAAGGTTGGCCGGCGGGGGGCGCCGGTGCAGGGGTCCCACATGTCGGCAGAGCTAGTGTGGTGGTGGAGCTTTGTTGATCTAGTGGCGGTCAGTCACGCTTAGCGGCGGCTGGTCTGGTGCTAGCCTTCTCCTGGGCTTGTGTGTTGGCGATATTGGTGTGTGGGTGATGGTTAATTTTTTTTCCTGGCTACGACCCTCGTAATCTCGTTTTTTTTTTCTGCTATATCAATAGAACTTTGCACCGTCTCGTGCGAGACGTTCAACAAAGTTTGTGCGCTGTGCTATAGTGCTATCAGTTAGATGCACGATTGGTAGCGTGCAAAAATTGTTGCTTTCCCCCGATACCTGTAAATGAAGAGGGTCAATAACTAATGGGCTCTCCCCCGAGACCCTGACTGAAAGGTCAAAAAACGCCTTCAGAATTCATATGAGTACTACTTATCACTGCGTGTTTGCATTTTTGAGCGGAATTGCTACCTAAACAGGTAATGAGTGGCGTGTGTAAAGAGAGCAGATACATCAAAATCTTAACACCGACATTTATCTACTGATCCTTATACAAATTATTCATGTTATTACAAGTATGCACATTTATTCTTCAGCTCCAACACTGAAACGTCTCGGCTGCTCCCTTTGCGATAAAATGAACGGGCAGTCGGGGTCTCGACAGGTAAATTTTACAGCAAACGAAAACGAATTCACTGGGTTTTTACGTTTTACGAGGCGCTAAGCCGGAGAGATTCGAAGGAGTGCTCGAGCTGAGCCGTCCCGCCGGCCGCCTGCCGGAGCAGATTCTTCACCGACTCCACCCAGTCCTGCTTCTGCGCCCTGCTCTCGCACTGGAACTCGACCACGCCCTGCGCCGTCCTCAGCCCGAACTGGCACTTCTCCGACGACGCCGTCTCCGGAGCAGGAGGCACGGCGCCGCCGCCGCACGCGTGCGGCGCCGGCCACGCCTGCACGTCGTCGTCGACGCCGTACACGACGCTCTTCTTCTTCTTGGAGAAGGCGCCGCCGATGTGCTTGCTCTTCAGTTTCACGATCACCTGCGACTTCTTGTTGATGTAGACGGCCACGCGCTTCCGGTGCAAAGCGCCTGATGAGAAAATTGAAAAAATCACCATCCCAAGATCGAGCTCAGTTTGGGCGCGCGGCGACGTGACGACGTTGTGACGTGCGTCCGTGTCAAGGAGAGGCTTTTTTTGAGCTTTACCTTTCCGGCTGCGTTTCAGGAGCGTCCCTTCCTTGCACCATATGTCGCCGCGGCAGCTGCCGGTCTTCTCGTAGGGCGCCACCGCCGCCACCTTGCTCCTCGCCTCCCGCTGCGCTCTCAGCCTCAGCGCCGTCGCTCCTCTCAGAGCTGCCATGTTGCGAGAGAACTCGAAGATGATTTAGTTGCTTCGGGGTTGGCATGCGTGGCAGGAGCTAGAGAAGGCCTGTCGTGATGCATGGTTGCTCACCTGTGGCTGCGGAGGCGGTCAGGGTCATGAGATCGCCGGGGCTCCGCACGTCGACGGCGGCCTCCACCGCGGAGGCGACCTGGTCGTGGTCGGCGCCGGCGAGCTCGGCGATCTCGATGCAGTGCGAGGCCAGCAGCTGTGTGGCGGACGCCAGCGCGGCGTCCATCTTGGCGTCGTCGAGGTCGTCCGGGTCGTTCGCCGCGCCGGAGGCCACGGCCGCGACGGCGGCCGCCACGCTCGCCACGGTGACCGCGGCGTGCACGCGCGCCCGCTCGGCGCGGGCCTTGTCGACCCTGCTGCTGCTGCTGCTGCTGCTCCCGTCCCTGTGGTGGAACCACCTCCCGATCGTGTGCTGGTGCGCGGAGATGGCGCTCCTGCACCTGGAATACTGCACGCAGAAACACGAACTCCGGATCAGATCATCTCGCAAAAAAACCTCTCGCACTCTCCATCCAATCGCGGATGATCTTACGCGTTTGCGGGGGCTCAGGTTTGTGCTGGAGGCGGCGGCGAGCGCGAGCGTCTCCGGCATGAGCATCCCGGAGAGGCGATCCACCACGAAGTTGGTGCTCCGCCTCGCGCCGACGCCGCCGGTGAGCACCCTGGATATGTCCGACGCGGACACGCTCCACGACCGGGACAGGAACTCCATGGGCTCCATCAGCGTCTGCACCGCCGCCGCCACCGCCGCCGGAGGAGGAGCAGCATCCATGAGCAGCAGGTGATCCCTCCTCCTCATCCTCCCCAACATGTGCCCTTCCATCCTCACTTCCCCTGCGATTTTTCTCACACACGCACTGGCACGCTGCAGTGTTCAAAACTGTCACTTCCAATGCCTCGCCATCGCTGGCTACTTATCATGGGGTCAGCCGAGCTGTGTCGATCGAAGGGCACACGAAGCACGGGAAAGAGGGTGCGTGGGCGGCAGGAGACACCAAGGCTTCGGTGACTGACGGAGCTGCCGCCCGTGTCGTCGCTTTGCCGCGCGGGGGCGACACGTAGCAACAGTGCCACTTGCCGGCGGGTGGCCATTGCCGGCCTCGTACGTTGCATCGTAGATATCAGATGGGGCCGGGGCCCCGTGTAGGAGACAGGCGCGTCGGGGCGCTAGGTGTATAAAAAAGAGCGTGCATGCACCTCGGACTCGTGAGCCTGCCAGTGTACATTCTCTGCTATAGTTTTATGGGGTTTGTTCGTTTCCATGCGGAGGGCGGTGGAGGACTGTGGCCACGCCGAGTTTGTCGGAGAAAACGGACACTGGTCACTTGGTCAGCAATCGTGTGGGACAATGGTGCCAAAGTGGAGTGGAGGATACTGCAGCCATCGTCGAGGAGATCGGGATCGACAATCCCCTTGCCGTCGACAATCGCGCGAAGCCACAGCCTTTTTTTTCTCGGCAGTCGTCACCACCGCTCCCCTCCTTCGATCCGACCTCCGTCGTCCCTCGCCTCTGGTGAACAAGGCAACGGCGACGGCGTCGGCGTCCTCAACCTGATGCGACCGTATGCTGCTTGCTACCTCTGTAGTCTGAACACGTAGATGGGTTGGAAATTGAGGCCCATCAAAATGAGGCCTACATGACGGTTATCACACACCGAAGACCAAACTCTGGACCTCTGCACCACAGCACGCTGAGCATTAATTAGTCTGGCCGGTACACGGCCTATTTCTTGAAGTCCGCGCTGATGAAATGAATTTACGGCTGCGCAATGGCCAAAGAGCAATTCTACGGTTTTTTAAAGGTACCATTACAGTATGTAGATACTAAGAGTTACTATTAAATTTATAACAGAAAAAATAGTAAACCGTAAAATTACTCATGGCCAAATGTTTGCGCACGGTTCCTGTAGGCAGTTCCTGCGCTTAATTGTCATCCATCCAGTCACAATCTGTGCCCGTTGCGCCTTGGGATTGCACGTCGGTGTCTCTATATATGGTCCCGTTAGCCTGCATCCGCTAAAGATAAGATTAAGCACGACATATAAAACGAGAGTGTTATTAGCACATGATTAATTGAGTTTTAATTATTTTAAATTTTTAAGAAAGATTTATCTGATGTTTGAAAGTTACCTTACACATAAGTTTCATACGAAATATATCGTTTAGTAGTTTGAAAACATGTTAACGGAAACAAGTTAAAACTAGCATGGTGGCCCGCGCAGATTGCACAGCTAGCATCATTATATTTTCTCTTATATAATATCATATATGTTTTCTCATTATATTATTCAAATATATTAAAATGACATCATAATTTTAAATTTTGTAATAACTTTATGAAACTACTAATGTGTAATATTCATATTGTATTTTATATACGTGTTAGTTATTAATTATTTTTAATATCAAATTTTAGTTATTTGTAAATTATATATATTTCTATGTGACGGAGCGTGGGGCTCCTCACCGGGAGACCGCGCAGGCCCCCCTTTGCCGGTTCGGCCGGGGACCCTGGGTGAGACTCTAAGCTCCCAATCTGTATGTGGAAGGTTCGCGAGACAGGAAGCACAGAAGACGCCGGCGATGTATACAGGTTCGGGCCGCTTAGAAGCGTAATACCCTACTCCTGTGTTTTGGTGGATTCGTGTGTGAAAGAGCTACAAAGTATGAGCCAGCCTCTCCCTTGTTCTGGGTTCCTAATCTGGAAAGGTTCAGTCCAAGAAAAAGAAAAACCCCCTCTCTCGGTGGGCAAGGTCCTCCTTTTATATCTTAAGAGGATACCACATGCACCATTTCCCTCTTTTTTGTGGGGACCTCCCCCACCTTTTCATAAATGGACGGAGATTTGTATAGTTGCCATCCGAGTCACCTTCTGATGGGACGGCCCACAACTACCCCCACTTTCGCCGGGAGCAGATGCGACGTGGAATCGTGGCCGCCTGCTGACGACATGACCGGAGTCAGACCAGTCACGTCGGTCATTCTTGTCCACCACGTGTCAGCTTAGCAATCTACATGTCCGCCCTTCTTCACACAACATCTTGCTTGTAATGGTTAGGATGAAGCCTGGCATATATCTGATCAGGGCTAACGTGCCATCTCTGGGAGGTAACACGCTAGCTCCAGCTGGGGACGAGCGCCTAGAAGCCCTCGTCCTGACGGGATGGGGTGAGGCGTGTGTCAGATCGCCTGTGGCCACCTAACCCGCGATCTGACCGGTCTGTGACTACACGGCAGTCCGCGAGGTCATGAAGGGAAGTGTTGTGGACGGTGCACCACTTGCCGGTTGGGCGCTCCCTGCTGGGAGCGCCGGCCTCTTTCTTTTTGTCACCCGCAGGCCTCCCCTTTCGGGTGGCCCGCGGAGCGCCCTCGACGGCGAGGACATGACCCTCGTCGTCGGTATGGGCTGACCTCTTCTTCCTCCTCCTATCACGCCGCCCTGTCTGAGCGGCGGATCCGGGGGCGGCCGAAGCTGCCACACCGGAACCGGAGGGGTTCCAGGTCCATGCCTCCTCCTTACGAGCCACTCGGTCCGCGAGCTGAAAAAGCTCCGCGGTAGTCTGGGGCTCTTTGGAGGCGATCTTTTCGAGCATGCGGTTGTGCCGCACACCCCCCCTGAACGCGTAAATCACCGCGTGTGCAGGGATGCATGGTATGGTATTACGGACTTGACAGAACCGCTGAATGTACGAGCGAAGTGACTCATCATCCCTTCGCTGTACTGCGTGCAAGTCCGCTTCCTCACCGGGGCGCGGATATGTGCCTTGGAAGTTCATGGTGAACTGTTGGCACAAATCCTCCCAAGAGTGGACAGACGCGGGTGGCAAGTTCATTAGCCAACCCCGCGCCTGTCCTTTCAGGGCCATGGGAAAGAAATTCGCCATGACCCTGTCGTCACCCCCGGCGGCCTCGATCCCGGTCGTGTAGACCTGGAGAAACTCGGCGGGGTTGACGCTCCCGTCATATTTTTCGGCGATGGTGGGCCGGAACCTTGGGGGCCAACGGACATTCCGAAGACTCGCCACAAAGGCTCTACAGCCGACACCACCAACCGGGGGCACGGAGGGCTGATTCCCGCGTCCGTGTTGAGGTGACACTCTGGACGAGGAAGCGCCCTCCGTTGCGTGGGCAGCACGTCGGTCATTACGCCGGCGCTCGATGCTGGTGCGGGCGTCCGGCCCCCCACGCAGATCTTCCCGGGTCGAAGGAGTCGACGAAGGAGTGGCGGCCGAATGGCGAACAGCGGCTGCCGCTCGTCGTGCCCTCCGTCTTGACGACGCGGAGCCGGTGGTAGCAGCACCAGAGGCCTTGGTGGCGGAGGACCGCCCACCAGCATCTAGGCGCTGCCGTGCAGTCATGACCAATTTGGCCACATCGTCCAGCCAACGTTGGGCTGGAGACTCCGGGTCATGGACGACGGGCGGGTGACGTAGGAGCGCGCCTGCAGCTTGGAGCGCGCCCTGGGGCGTGCTGCCGTCGCCGTAGACGAGGAGGCGACGCTCCCCATCTCGCCGCCCTTCTCCACCTCCTGTGGATGTCGAAGTCGCGGATCCTTCAGCCCTCTCGAGCGCCTTCTCCCGCCTAGGACTTTGGCGTGGAGGGGGCGGTGGAGTACGAGCTCGACGGCGTGGGTTTGGCTCCCCGTCGTCACCGCTCATACTCGGGGAGAGGTCGTGCGCCTTTGCTGGCTCGGCCATTGGGCTGAACAGAAAAAGCTTGGCGCACACGAAGGAGTGCGAGAGCTCAGAAGATCACTCGCAGAGTCCCCTACCTGGCGCGCCAGATGACGGAGCGTGGGGCTCCTCACCGGGAGACCGCGCAGGCCCCCCTTTGCCGGTTCGGCCGGGGACCCTGGGTGAGACTCTAAGCTCCCAATCTGTATGTGGAAGGTTCGCGAGACAGGAAGCACAGAAGACGCCGGCGATGTATACAGGTTCGGGCCGCTTAGAAGCGTAATACCCTACTCCTGTGTTTTGGTGGATTCGTGTGTGAAAGAGCTACAAAGTATGAGCCAGCCTCTCCCTTGTTCTGGGTTCCTAATCTGGAAAGGTTCAGTCCAAGAAAAAGAAAAACCCCCTCTCTCGGTGGGCAAGGTCCTCCTTTTATATCTTAAGAGGATACCACATGCACCATTTCCCTCTTTTTTGTGGGGACCTCCCCCACCTTTTCATAAATGGACGGAGATTTGTATAGTTGCCATCCGAGTCACCTTCTGATGGGACGGCCCACAACTACCCCCACTTTCGCCGGGAGCAGATGCGACGTGGAATCGTGGCCGCCTGCTGACGACATGACCGGAGTCAGACCAGTCACGTCGGTCATTCTTGTCCACCACGTGTCAGCTTAGCAATCTACATGTCCGCCCTTCTTCACACAACATCTTGCTTGTAATGGTTAGGATGAAGCCTGGCATATATCTGATCAGGGCTAACGTGCCATCTCTGGGAGGTAACACGCTAGCTCCAGCTGGGGACGAGCGCCTAGAAGCCCTCGTCCTGACGGGATGGGGCGAGGCGTGTGTCAGATCGCCTGTGGCCACCTAACCCGCGATCTGACCGGTCTGTGACTGGTCACAGACCGGATAAACGAGTGCACTGCACTACGTTGCATGCGGCGTGACACGCTCAGTCAAACCGCAATAAATGTGGTAGGTGAGCCCCACTGTGCTCACCTAACCCATACACGCGGAGCAAAAAACCCACGAGGGGTCGGGGCGCCTCGGCCCTCGGGGCCGAGGGGGGTGCAGCCCGACCCCCTCGGGGGGACTAGGAGGAGGGCGAACACATCACCCTCGGGCCCGACGTCCCCCGAGGGTGCCAGGCCACGTGGGCGATTGCGTCTGCCTCAAACCTCTAGTCATGATACTCCTGATCCCATGTCACCGACAGTAGCCCCCGGCGTTATGCCAGGGCGATCGCCCTCTTTAAGGGAAGCGGTCGGGCGTGACGCCACTCCTAAGGCCTGGTGACAGGTGGGACCGGTCTCCACAATTGGGCAGAAACCCAACGGTCACAAATCACGCACATCGGCAGTGGTAACTCGGCTGTCAATAATGAGCGGTCTCTTCAAGACTGCCACATTACTCGAGTAGCACACGAATCTGGACATGGCGATTCGTTTCGTTTGGAGATATGGTAACGTCGCTTTGGTCGGCGAGCGTAATTACCGCGCGCACGATATGATCTATCTCGACTGCCACAACCGCATATCCACCTCATGCGCCGCAAGCGGGCGAATGGGATTAGTGGAAGCATGGGCGCGAGAAACGAGGGGGCGAAACAGTGGGCGCGAGAAGCGAGGAGCCGGGCACAGCGTTGGCAAGAGTATAAAGGCACTGATGAAGGGATTTGTTTCCCTCCTTTCGCCATTATTTCCCTTGTCTTCGTCGCTTGCGCCCTAACTCCTTCTTTCCTGTGCCCTACCTTCGCCACACGCGCTCGCTCTTAATCTTCTCTTCCTTCCGGCGCCATGGCACGGGGCTCCGCTCTGCTCGATGGTAGCGTGCTGCCGCCCTCCCGCATCGTGAGCGAGAGGCA